TCGTCCTCTCTCTCTCTCTCTCTCTCTCTCTCTCTCTCTCTCTCTCAGACGTCAACCTCATAAACACGTTTATACGAGTATTGGACCCTCCCTCTCTCTATGCTTTGGAGCGCCATGCATCGTTATGTTAGCAAAAGTCTCCATAAAGAGAAGACTGCTAACATCGAGTACCACTGTGCAACCAAAACCAAGTCTTTTTGAGTAGGTTCAGGAAGCTGTGTGTTGGTTTTAGGAGCTCGTACCAAAAAGTCACCTGATAGCTAAACCCCAGCATTATTGTTTGTCACCAACTTTTGTTACTCCTGCTCTGACTGTGCTTTCCGGCCTTTCTCCGCGACAGCCTCGCAGAAGAGCTCGTTACATATCAACATCATAAGTGAATCCAAGGTTTAAGCAGTACATCTCGTCCTTGAGCTATGCTAGTAGATCTAAGGAAACAGTCATGTCAAGCACCATGACATACAGTAAACTTATCCGGACGTCACCTAACTGTGCCTGTGCGTTACTTCATCAGGGATTACTGCTGTCTGCTACTTGGTCATATGATCACCTCGTCAGGGCACATAAGATACCTGCATATACTACTACTATGCCTGAGAAGTAGAATCTAAGCTCGTGAGCCGTCTTCTTAACGCAAGCAGAATCCCTCTCTCGAGGCTCCTACCTTTCTTTTCCACACATTTCTGCCTCAGAATCGAGACTCCTGTGCCCTGTAACGTTTCCCACTTGTCGACAGAGTGAGCTTGGAGTGCCGATAGCGCGCGCCCGAGGGTGAGAACGTGTCGGCGACGACCAACCGAGCGTTTCCCCAAGGCTTGCAGGCTCGTAACGTCGTGACCACGCTGAGTACAAGATTGACAGATTATGATATGGGAAACGATTAAATGTTTCATTTTTGGAAAGATGATGCCAAGCTTTCCATTATATTTATATAGGAGTTGGTATGATGAGATATAAGATGAGATACAAAATTTTTCTTTCGGCAGTCAGTTGGACTGCATTGTATTCGGATTTCAAGCATTATGTCACCCACCATTATTGGACTTAGAACATTTAGGATTTAGCCTGAATAATACTGCCTCCTCACTCCAAGACCACCTCCTCCTCTCATTTTGCTGCCTCCTCCCACTCTCTTGGTTCTCTCCTCTCTCATCCACCTCCCTCTCACTCGATCATAGATTTCAACATAAATATATACTATTTGAATAATTAATCATCCTAAATTCATAAAAAATAATATTAAATATATTACATCTCATCCTAATAGTTTAAAAAAAATTTAAATGATTTTAATAAAAATTTAAAAAATTAATCTCGAGTTACGATCGTATTACAATAGAGTTACACTCTGATCACAAATTCAACCTAAAGATATCTCATTTCAAAAATTAATCATCCTTAATTCATATAAAAACAAAAAAAATAATACTAAACATATTATCATTTCACCTAGTAATTTTGAAAAACATTAAAAATATTTGATAAAAATTTAACAAGTTTACTCGATCATCAATTCAACCAAAAGATATCCTATTTAAAATTTTATTCACCTTAAGATCATAAGAAATTTAAAAAATAAAACTAAATATCTTATAATCTTGTGCTAGTAATTCTAAAAAAATTTAGATATGTTTGATGATAAAGCCTTGATTACAATCGAGTTATACTTATATTACACTCTATGTTATGCTCGATATACACTGAGTCAACCCGTACCCATGAATTGACCTTACCCGTACCATGATGGTCAGACTGAACCCAAACTGACCAATGGATCTACGACTTGAAATAGCCGATTCAAAGGTAGTATAATTTTTTTTAAAAAAAATTCTTAGTAAAATTAATTATGAAAAAGTCATCTACTAAAAACCAATTACTAAGGCCTTCTTATGATAAATTGCTAAACCTATATGCATGTACGACTCATTGTACATGCATTGACTCTGTGGCCCTGGTGTCAAATTAATGGATGGGGCATAGAGAAACGTGTCATGACTCATCTCGTCCTTCACTTTGCCTGTGGGGAGCATCAAATGCATGCATCTAACCCCTACGTGGTTGGGATACTATTTCTACTGTTTAAATAGACTGGCTAGATGAGGACATTGCATACGATGGTTTAAGGAGGCTAAGGCTGTATTCCGTCATCTCAGTTTAATAAAAGGTAAATATTTTTCTACCTAAGTTTCGCTTAATAAACAGAACCTTAATGACAAGAAAAGTTCACACACTGACCTCAAGCATAATGGCCTGCTTTTTCTTCACCATGAGAACCTGCATCATTTCCTCCACCACGTAGCCTGCATTATATACACTAACCAGATTTTAAGTTATATTTTATGACAATCTATTTTAGAGAATCACAGGAAATAGGAATGATGTTCAACATAACAGCTAAATTTAGTGACAACTGAAAAATAGACCCCTGAAAAAATTTTCATTAGATGAAATTTCATCAACAAGATGTACTAACCTTTGAATGGCAAGAAAATGGCGTAGTCAAGACATACATGGCAAGAAACAGCTGTAGCAAGTATCATAATACAAAATATATGCAGCTAAACCAATCAGCTTCCAACATATGTTAGGATCTGATCAGCAATAATCAACGTATCTGAAGCCCGTCGAACTCTTACAATGCTCGTCTTACAGGTTCACGCTCATGTCTGTGGCATGAATTTACGAGGTACAGAAATGAAATCAAACAATCTGTCATCTGCCTTAAAGAAAGTAAGGAACCCCCGTCCTCGGCCCTCGCATTTGATTATTCTCCTCAGTTTCAGTGAAGAACTTCACCTCTCTTTCCTGTTTTCATGAAGTAATAGTTAAATAAAGGATAGGAATGCAACTGTTCTGATCACATAGTTAAAGTGCCATTCATCAAAGGTAGCTTTCTTCCTCTATGGGTTTGATTTGGATCACTCGGAAATTTGAAATCACTCAAGTACCTCCACAAGTTTTACACATTCATAAATTTTGATAACAAACTTAAATGCAAAAATCTTAACAAACATCAAAGGTGCATGGAATGAAAAAATTAAAAAAAAAGTAGAAAAGGCAGAACACCATTTAAAGCATAAAGGTCAATATCATACCATTTTTTCATTGAAACTCAATATGGAAGCTACATTCCCACACCTGTAACAATAATTAGGCGCGGACCAAACCTGAAGACCAAGAATTGTGCAATCTTCAGACATCAGAGTTCAGGAAGCTAAGAGGCAAGATCAAAGTCACAACTAAGAAATTGAAAAAACTAATTAAAAATTAGCTAACTTTCTGCCATAATTAACATGGGAAGCACTATTTATGCTACTGATGAACTCACAGTTACAAGCCCTTTGTCAAACATGTACTTCAGGCCTTCCTGGACCAGCTGATGTGCCCGACAAACAAGATCAAGCTTGTTTATGTGATTAAACTATAGAACAAACATGAAACTCTTGATCAGTGGAAATCAATTAAAATTTCAACCCAGAAAATTTTGTTTACCTCTGCTGTCACCCTTGATCCAAAGAGCCAACCTGCACCTCGAGGGCTGACAGCCCATGTATCAATCTCCTCTGGATCACTCCACATAAGATCACAAAAAGGACCTTCATGAGGAATTTCACAGTTGCGATCAATAACCCTTATCTGTTAACCACAAGGAAATTAAAAACATTAATGAGATATATAATCTCTGTCAAAACAGTTGACACTCCCAAAGATCCCACATGATGAAAAGGTTTACATTGATTCTACACCTACAATGTCGGTCTGAGATTCTAACTAGTGTTTTTAAAAGTACTAAGCGCCAAGGTTCTAAAACGCCCAAGGCACTACGCGCTCACCTATGTGCCCACCCAAGCGAAGCAAGATGCTCTACAATATTAAAATATAAAAAATATATAATGCAATTGATAAATATAATTATATAAATAAAAAATATGATATTAAATTGAAAAGATATGAGATACCAAGTCACATTGTCCATCTTCGAATAACAAAAATATCAAAAAAATCAAAACAATAAAGTTTTACATCAAATTCAATCATCATCACAATCAACATCGTCATTCTCAAACTTATCATCATCTCTCTTCCTCTTGTCCATCTTCATCAAAATATATTTCTCCTCTTCAACAATGGTAGGAGGTGACCTTGAGGCTTTTTGCACCCATTTTTGTTTTCGTCATATATCCTGTATATGTCTGTAATCTCCAACACATGAAGCTCTTGCCATATCTCTTCATATCAAGCTATCATCTTCAAATGCAAACTCATCTTCGACATCTTACAAGTTTGTAGTCATTTCTCCCACCAGCCATTTATTTGAATCATCAATGTCTTGTAATGAGATTGGATCAATATTATTTCACAAATCATAATGAGCTTTCAATGCTTGATTTTACTTTATATAAACCAGATCATGTAATTGTTGATGTTCTAATCGATTTTTTTCTTTTTGTATGAATCTATCATGTCATATAAATCAAAAATATATTCATACATCTATCTAAAAAAGAATAGATTAATTAAAATAAAAATATTCTTATATACTTACATGTTCAAAGGCACTCCAGGTTCACTCACAATCTGCAGAACTATGAGTCATACTAAGAATTTTGATAATCAATTACTACAAGTTCGAGGTGGAATTTCCAAATAGACTCTACTATTCAGTTGTAAAATTTAACTTTATTATTAACAATAGCATACTATACATGAAATTAATTATATAAAGTTATAAATACCTAGGGGAGTAGTTGCCCTAGATCAAACTGCCATAGGAATTCCAAAAAGATCATTGACATTGTTATATAAAGATAATTCACATATGATCGTATCTTGCACCTCAAGGATTAGAACCAATCCTGTAATGCACTTATATAACTACTTTATAACTTAATGAAGATGTTCTTATAAAAAAGAATTCTAGGTTTAAAGTAATGGACGATGAAGTTGACAATCCCATCTTTCATCAATGATTGCAAATATGTTCTTATACTTTTCTTCATTTCCATCAAAAGACTTTTGAATTGTTTCTTTTGCTCTATCCATAGCCTCAAATATATCTCATTGCAAGCTTCTTTTCATTATTTGCCAACTGAAGGACTCGAACAAACAAGAAGGTTCATTACCTTTAATGTATAAACTATAAGATTCCAAAATGACAGCATTAAGATAATATCACTGACCCTCTTGCCTTCCGCTTCTTTTGTCCATATTTGCTTCTTGCCTATAAATTCTTACAAATTCCTTGTTGCCTATAAATTATTTCATCATATTCAAAGCTCCGATATGATTATAGAGAAATCGAAAGACAAAGATTGCTCTTTCTAAAGTCTTCTTAATGTCAAGAATCTTTCCAATATCTTCCAGCATTAGATTAATACAATGTGTCGCATATAGAGTTCAACACAAGTGTTATCTTTTTACCTCAAGTAATTTACCTAAAACAAACGATAACAAAATTGATTAGACTTGGGAGTTACATAATTTTTCCATTTGAATCGAAGACATAGAGAAATTTAAAGATTAAAAATTCAAAATATAAATCTTACCAACTAACATATAGTTGCTTCCATTATTGATTATAACTTAGACGGACATTTTGTTCACCAATTTATTCCATAAACTTGTCAAACAACTCAAATATTTTTTCTTCAGATTTCATAGAAGAAGATGCATATATTGACTTCATAAACATGTTTCCTAAATAACAATTGATCGTAAAATTAATTATACTCCTACGTCTCCTGTCGATCCAAGCATCTGACATAATAGAGCAACCATGCTTTACCCATGATTCTTTGTGGCCCTTCAATAAGTCATTTGTATAATCCAACTCTTTCTACAATAATAGAACTCACAACTCATAATAAATTAGAGATTTTAATACCTCACCATATCTTCCAATTGCTTCAATAATCTCTTTAAAACTATCCAAATGACAAGTATTAAGAGGAAGTCCAGCCTGACAAACAAAGTGAGCAATATGTTGCATCGTTCTTCCCCTTATTTTCTTATCATAAACATCACTTATATTTGTTTGTCTTAATTTTGCTCTTGTTTGACATTGTTGCTTCCATGATCCTTGATACACATATGTCTATCAGTCCTTTTTTACCCTTCTTAACAATCAAGACTTGTTTTTCTTTTGTCATATACTCTTTTCCAATTGGCATTAATACTTTATGTATAATCGTCTTCTTCATCATCTATAATATGTTGAACATCATCCTCGAATAAAATACCATAAGATCCGTTCCTTTGTGTCTTTTTTTTAGTTATATAAGCCAACAACTCTTCTTTTACATCAAATGGACACTTCTTGCATGTTGATGCATTCTTGAAGTTCCCTACTTGATGTTGTTTTGCACGAAAAATGCCACCTCTATTAATCTTCTCATAGAAGATACAAGTAAATGCATTAAGATCTCTAGGATCCTTTAGATAATTGTATTTCCAAGTAAGATAATTGTATTTCTTGATTTTTTTTATGAATCTTCTGGATTGCTTTGTACACTTGCTATTAATATTGAAACACTAATAACAATTCTAAAAAAATAGAGATCAGCAGTGCTAAATAGGGACTAATAACAATTCTAAATAATGATTAACAGTGCTAAATAAGGATTAGTAATTCTAAATAAGAATTAGTTATAAATAGGTTAATATTTCTAAGGATTGACATCAATTTTAGTTTATTATATCATAATAGTAGTTAACACTTAACAATAGTTTTAATATCAGTTAAGGATTAACAATTCATTGTCAATAGTATTTAATCCATTGTTAACAATAGTCATAATAATAAAGAGGGAGGAAAAGAGTCACTAACGGTAGAATGTGGGGAAGGAGAGGGCAATGGTGGAGGAACCTTCGGACGACAACAATGGCGATGAAGGAAGCTATGGACGACAACAACAGCGAGGGAAAAAATTGCAATCAATGACATCGACAACAGAGGAAGCTACAGACAGTGACATCGGGGGCAGAGGAAGTTGTCGGTGGTGGAGGAAGTTATGATCCTGTCCCTTGATGGCGGAAGGAGCTGCAGACAAAAGTAGCAACGACAAAGGAAACTATGCACGAAAGCTATAGCAATGGGAGCTTCGGACCCGTCCGTCAGTAGTAGAGGTAGTGACGGGACCAAAGGTAAGTCGGGGTGGCGAAGTACCTAGGGTTTATAGGTCGAGGGTCACAAGGGGGTTTACTGTTACTATTTATTGTCCTTAGTTGGGTCAATTGAGCCAAGTTACTATTCTATGCTTAATTGCTTCAATTGAACCAACCAAGTTACCGCTCAATCAAACCAGAGTTGACTATCTGGTTTGATTGCCAACCAGGCACTCACCTGAGGTGCTAGGCGCTTGGGCTCATGCAAGCGCCTAAGCAATGCTTCACTAAAGCGCGTCGCCTAGCAACTATCCAAGGTGCTTATGCCTCGCCTCGCTCGAGCACCTAGGCGAGCACCCGAGCTCCTTTTCATAACAACAATGCACAAGCATGACTTCGTACATCAGCATATAAATTTTCTGTTTAATACTTGGACTACCATTTCTCTCTCGTG